CAAAGGTATAGGCAAAAAAAAAAAAAAATAGAATTGCATCAAACTAAAAAACTTCTGCACAGAAAAGGAGGCAATCAACAGATTGAAGAGACAACCTATGGAATGGAAGAACATATCTGCAAACCATACATCTGATGATGAGTTAATATTCAAAATATAAAAGGAGCTCAAACAACTCAATAGCAAGAAAACAAATAGCCCAGTTAAAAAGTGGGCAAAGGACCTGAATAGACATTTTTCCAAAGAAAACATATAGGGGCACCTGGGTGGCTCAGTGGGTTAAGCCTCTGCCTTCAGCTCAGGTCATGATCCCAGGGTACTGGGATCGAGCCCAATGTTGGGCTCTCTGCTCAGTGGGGAGCCTGCTTCCCCCTCTCTCTTCCTGCCTCTCTGCCTGCCTCTCTGCCTACTTGTGATCTGTCTCTGTCAAATAAATAAAATCTTAAAAAAAAAAAAAAAAGAAAAAGAAAACATATAGACAGCCAACAGGTACATGAAAGGTGTTCAACATCACTAATTATCACAGAAATGCAAATCAAAATTATAATGAGAAATCACCTCACACCTCTTTTTTTGTTTGTTTGTTTTATGTCACAACTATTAGAATGGCTAGTATCAAAAAGATAAAAGATAAGTTTTGGTAAGGATGCAGAGTAAAAGAAGCAGTTGTACAATATTGGTGAAGATGTAAATTTGTACAGCCATTGTGGAAAACAATACGAAGATTCCTTAAAATATCAAAAATAAAACTACCATATGACCCAGCAAATCTCACTTCTGAGTATATACCCAAAGAAAATGAAAACAGGATCTTGAAAAGATACCTACGCTCTCATATTCATTACAGTGTTATTCATAACAGCCAACATGTGGAAACAATCCAGGTGTCTGTTGACAGATGAATGGATAAAGATGCCATATATGTTTAAAATATAATACACACATATACTTTTATACACATACACACATATACAATGGAATATTATTCAGCCATGAGAAAGAAGGAAATTTTGCCTTCTGTGACAACATGGATGAAGCTGGAGGATACTATGCTAAGTGAAATATGCCAAACAAAGACAAATGCCACATGGTATCATTATATGGAGAATCTAACTCAACCAATCAATTCACAGAAGAAAATACAACAGTGGTAACCAAGATCTGGGGGTGTGGGTGTGGGAAGATGTTGGGCAAAGGGAACAAAGTTGTAGTTATGTAGGATGAATAAATCTAGAGATAAAACTTTCCAGTCTCATGACTCTATTTAATAATACTGCATTGAACACTGGAAATATATGAGTAATTTCAGGTGCATGTATCACACAAAAAGCACTACCTATAGAAGGTGATGTATGTTAATTAGCTTGACTGTAGTAATTATTTCATTATATATGTATATCAAATAATTTTGTACAACATAAGTATATACTATTGTTATTAAAATATAAAAATAAATGAAAAATTTTTAAAAACATCTGAAACTGAGGTCATTTGTTGTAGTGGGAAGGAATTGTTGCTCTCAGGGTGAAGAAGCATTGCTCGGTTGAACTGGCAGGAACAGAAAGCAAAGAAACAGAAGGAGGAAGAAGCAAATCCTTTCTACATTTTCAGCTTTGAGCCTGTTTCTACCTCCACTGTTGGGAAAGGCTAACAGAAAACCAGCTGTCAAAGCAGAGATGTGGTCACAGATAACAAAGGCCATCTCTTATCATAATTGACTTACAGGAATTGATGCCAGAACTTCCTCCTTTTCCACAGTTCAGCTGACCAAGACCTGATGAAACACATAGCAGTATATAAAAATGATAGGATCCTAATTAAGGCATAGGGTTTTAGATTGTTAACACCAGGTTTCCATACACTTATTTGTCTTTCAAAATAAAATGTTATTCACAGATCTGCTTGAGATTCCAGGCAAACTCAAGAAATAGCCATCCGTATGCACAAAAGATTAAAATTTGCATAGCTGATAGTAAGTCCTATAACACTAAAATTGCATTTATTAATTTTGCCATAGTATAAATGTTCAGGAAAAAATACCTGAAGAGAGTATTTTGTATTAACATCCTGAAAATGACTGTGATATGGAAGTCAGGGCTGATTTCAAAGACATTCTGCATAGATTTGTTTTCTCACATAGTGTTATATTGAATTTCTCTGGATATGTGATCTAAACTGCCTTAGAGAGAAGAGTAGAGATGAAGTGACTTTTTAGGCTTTCACCAAGCCCAGTAATTGTTTTCTACACCTTATGGCATACCAGAAATGCTCCCAAGTAATTTCTCCCCCGTTACCTTAATTCTTGAAAAGCCCATTTAGTTATTTTGATGGTTATTTCTGAATCAAGGGGACAGAACAATACCTAAAATTGACAGACGCTCAGTAAATTTTGTTAACTGACGTGTGAGTGCATGCATGAACGGATGGCGGCTGGATGGAAGGATGAGTGGGATGAAAGAATAGAACGTATAAAGTACTTTGCATGATTCTTTGTGAAACATATGAGAATTCCTACTATTTTTTACTTATAAATTGAGAGATTATGTGATGGTTAATCTTAAGTATCAGTTTGACTGGGCCACATATAGGGTGCCAAGATATTAATTTAACATTACTCTGATCACTTCTGGGAGGGAGTTTTTGCATGAGATTAACATTTAAATCAGTGGACTGAGTAAAACAGATTTCCTTCCCCAATGTGGGGGAGGGGCTCATCCAATCAGCAGAAGACCTGAACAGAACAAAATGCCAACCCTTCCCCAAGTAAAGGAGAATTCCTTCTGCCTGACTGCTTTAGAACTGGAACATTTTTTTTTTTTTCTTTTTTTGGACTTGAATAGAAATACTGGCTCTCCTGTGTGTCGAGGCTGCTGACCTTTGGATGGTAACTATACCATTGGTTGGCTGTTTCTCAGGCCTTCAAACTCAGCCTGGAACTATACCATTGATTCTCCTGGGTCTCTATCTTGCCAGTTCACTCCGCAGACCATGGGATTTATTAGCCTCCATAATCTTGTGCAACAATTCTTTATTGTCTATCTCTCTGTCTCTCTGCTTCTGTCTTTCTGTTTGTATGTGTGTGTGTATTTACATGTACACACATTACACATATCTACTGGTTCTGTTTCTCAGCAGAACTCCAATACGGATAGTGACTCAAATAAATGAAGCAAGGAGACAAAATCGAGATAGAGTATTTCCTGGCTTGTCAACTTGAACATAAAATTTGTATGCTTCCTTTCTTCTTTGATACAACTATTACAATAATTACCATTACTACTAGCTACCATTTATCGTTAGCTATCTGCCAGCAATGCAGTATCCATTTTACCCACTTGATCTCATTCATTGTTTTTGAAAAACTTTTTTTTTAAATTTATTTATTTATTTTATTAAATTTTATTTTTTATAAACATATATTTTTATCCCCAGGGGTACAGGTCTGTGAATCGCCAGGTTTACACACTTCACAGCACTCACCATAGCACATACCCTCCCCAATGTCCATAATCCCACCGCCCCTCTCCCAACCCCCCTCCCCCCATCAACCCTCAGTTTGTTTTGTGAGATTAAGAGTCACAAACCTTTAAGGAAAAACCAAAGCTAAGTGAATGATAACTTGCCTAAGCTTACATGGCTAATAAAAGGCAAACCTTGTATTTGGATCTATTGTCTTCTGATTTCAAATTTTGTATTCTTAACCAGTTTTGGCTCCAACATTAACCCACTGGGTGCCCTTGGACAAACTTCTTCTTATTTTTCCTTTTTAGTTTTCCTGCTTTTATAAAAAACGAGGCCCTGAATTTGATGATCTTTACTGCTCCTTCCAGCCCTGACAGTCTGTGATTATGTGATCATTAAGAAGTAGATAAAGGAATGCAGTGTTCCACCCACAACTGGGGTCAAGGCCAGTTAAGCACTGTGTACAGCACAAACTCAGCATCTGATTAGCACCTCTACAGTGGTATGGGAGAGTTGAAGTATCTCCCTAAAGAACTGCTTGGAAACCCTTTGGCTACCTTATAGAATTTTGCCTAATGTTTCTGTATGGCTCTTGTCCCTATCGGTTTTAGTATTAAACTAGCTAAGTAGATAAAATGTGAAGATAGAAATTAGTTTTTGTTTTCCTTTGCACTTTTTCTCTCCTCTCTGACTATCCCATGGTTCTCTGCTACCCTTTTCATGCTCTGGGTGCTCCCTTTCCCACTCCATCCCCACTCTAAGGTCACTGATGCCTAGATTTTACCCCAGGTGCTTCATCTTTCCTGCTTACCAATGGCCAAAACACCAATGCTTCTGAATCTACAGGTTCATCTCATTTATTATTCTCTCACAACTTTGAAATCAATCTGATAGATTAATTAGGTTTTCCAAAGAGTATGTTATACATATTGTTAATTACTGTTAAGATTGTTTTTTACCAAGAACACAGGGTTCTTTCACCAGATAACTTTAGCCAGGACTAAATAAAACATGATTGCATTAGTTTCTTTATTACAGAACTACTCAAAGACTTTTATGTGTAAATGTTTTCAATTAAACTTCGACAGGAGGTTTGTGCATTACATCTCACATTTTTTTTAAAAGATTTTTTTAAAGAGAGATGGTGAGAGGGGGAACACAGCAGGGAAGTGGGAGAAGTGGGAGAAGGAGAAGCAGGCTTTCCGGTGAACTCGATGTTGAGCTCAAAGGCAGATGCTTAAGGACTGAGCCATCCAGGCACCCCTAGACCTCACATTTTATTTTACTCTGAAAGCTTCTTTTCTCATAGTATCCTATAGTACTAAAATTGCATAGAATAGGGTGCCTGGGTGGCTCAGTTAGTTAAGCATATGCCTTCGGCTCAGGTTATGATCTCAGGGATCAAAAGTCCCACATCTGACTCTGCTCAATGCGGGGTCTGCTTCTCCCTCTTACTCTCCCTCTGTACTCTCCCTCTCTCTCTCAAATAAATAAAATATTTTTTTTTAAAGAAGCATGTATAAATTAAAATTAATTAATTAATTAATTAAATTCCGTAGAATATATTTTGGAGCTTTAGGATGCCAGCGATCAGGTATGGCACAAATTTGTGGATGGACCCTTTGTCCTGCACAGCCCCAGAGACCCCCCTGGGCCACTTTGATTTTATCAGCTTCACTGAAATATCGGTTCTGGCTGCTGAGGTGCTCGTCCATGGCATCAAGAGAACCCATACCACGGTATTTCTTTAGCCGGATCCCATCAGAGAAGAAGTACTCGCCAGGGGCCTCAGTGGTAGCAGCCAGGAGGGAGCCCATCATGACTGTGGAGGCCCCAAGGGCCAAGGCTTTGGCAATATGGCCCACATTTTGGATTCCTCCATCAGCAATAACAGGAACACCGAAGCGCCGTGCATATTCTGACACCTTGTACACTGCTGTTGCTTGGGGCCGCCCGCAGGCCAACACTTCCTGGGTGATGCAGATGGAGCCACTGCCCATGCCCACCCGCAGGGCATCTACACCATGTAAATAGCTCAGTGTATTCAAGAACACATAATTAAATGGATGCTAACTTTCCTTAGATGGTGGGAATAGGTACTGATGACTTTTCATGCAAAAGAGCAGTCTGTGAGATAAAAAGTAGTTTAAGAAGGGTCAGGAAGTTCTGAGTATCTTAACTATCACATGGTTTTATGAAATAGTATGTTTTTGTACCAAGGTAAAAGTTTAAAGTATTAAAGTATATTATTCCTTTACTAATTCTCAAAAACACAATGTACTTATTCTTTGGCAAACCAGGTTTACAGAACTTAGTCACACCATAAAATATCAAAGGGCTCAATCTTTAGCAGATGTTGTCTTTTGATATTATAAACAAGATAATAAATGATCTGATTCAAATATTGTTTGTTATATTCTTTATTTATAGGACATAGATTAAATAATTATAGATCAAAGAAGATGTGCATTTTAAATATCAATATATTGCTGAATTGTTCTCCATTAGTGTGACAGACTAACATGGATCAAGTTATATTCCCACATCTCCATCTTCATTTCAGGAATGTTTTTTACACCTTCACCATGAATAATTTTGAATATTTTCAATGTAAAATGTATTAAAAAAACCTCATGATAGTTTCCTTATCACTTTTATTAAGAGATTGAACTTCTTTCATTTATAGCTTATTTGCTATAAACTATATATATTGTTTCCTTTGTTATTGTGTTTTGGGTTGTTTTGTTATTGGTGTTTTTATTCATTAAACTAAAATATTTACCTATACTTTATTTTGGTTTTTGATGTGAGGTAATAATTCCTTTTTCCAGATGGCTACCAAATAATCTTAATAAGAAATAATAAATTATACAAATCTTCTCTAAAATCCAACATATTTGGAGACATTACTTCTAGATTTGCTAGTTGTATTGATTAGTAGGCCTATTTTTGCATCAGTATTACATTGTCTTAATTATTTTAGATCAAATTATATTTCCATGTTAATTTTCTAAGTTATGTTTACATATTTTCATATCAACTTCAGGATTACTTTTCATTTACAAAAAAATGTATTAGTGTTTTTGTTTGGATTACATAAACTTCTAGAATTTAGTTATGATTGACACATTTGGGACGTTGAGTCTTTTTATCCAAGAACATAGTGTGTCAAGTAATTAAATTAAATGACCTCCTAAACAGCAAATTATTAAAAATATAAGCATCATTTAGATTTCGCATAAATCTTTATAAGCCTGACCTATAAACGGATTGTGTAAATGTTTGTACTAACAATTATCATAGTGGAATTATTTTTTCTATCACAATTTCTTCGATTACTTGGAGTTTATTTTTAACCCAACCACTGTTTTTTTCTTTTTTGAAGATTTTGTGTATGTATGTATGTATTTAGAGAGTGTGAGCAGGTCAGGGGCTGGGGGAGAAGAGGAGGGAGAGAATTCCAAGCAGACACCACACTGAGTGCAAAGCCTGACCTGGGGCTTGATCTCATGAGCCTGAGATTGACCGGAGCTGAAATCAAGTTGAATGCATAACTGACTGAGCCATCCAGATGCCCCAGATCTTGTTTTCATGTTTTGGGGTTTTTTGGTAGGCTCCACGCCAAGTGTGGAGTCCAGCATGGGTCTTAAATTCATGACCCTAAGATCAAAACCTGAGCTGAGATCCAGAGTCAGAAGCCTAATTGAGCAACCCAGGCATGCTCATGGCTTCTTTTTCAACCTTACTGGCCAGCTACTTAACCAATAAATTATTTTCTATAGCTAGAATATAGGTAGAAACTCACTTTATAGAAAAATTATCTATAATAAAAAGGCCAATTCTGAAAAATTCATGTATAAAGATCAAATTAAGATCATTAAAAAGAAAATAACCAAGAAAGGATTGATCATAATGGACATTGGACTTATAAAATTGTGAATCCCTAAAAAGAGAACATATTTGAGGATTTCTGTTGGCTTTTTTAGCTTGATTAATACCATTTGATCATGAATGGCACAGAAAGTAGGAACGCCTCTAAATACAATAATGATTTATATAATCTACTTATCTCAAATTAGAGCTAAATTCTAATATTTGGCGATGGTTATAAATAGTTTTCTGACATTCTCAAGCATTGATCTGGTCATTAATTGGTAGATAAGCTGGTTAGAAAATAAGTTGTCTAAACTCTTTATTCTCCCTTGGAGTCATACTGCATGGAGGTTGACAAAGAAATTTTCTAACTGCTGAGAAGTTGAGAAATGAGACTTTATAAGCACCAAAGGAAATTAAGGGGCTTGTGGATTTAGCTCTTGGTAATACTTATTTCATACACTTGGCATATGCATGCTCATTTGCTCAGGGGTACAAGACTTAATGCCCTCCTCATAATAATCCTTGATATTAGCTTTGTAATGACTGGTATAGCACATCCATTGTTGGAGTTCAAAAATAACCTGGGTTCCTTTTTCCTCTTCCCTTTCTGGGTTCTGAACATGTTGAAAAGGGTAAAACAGTTAAGAGATTAAATATTGGTTTTATTCTTTTTAAAATGCTAAGAAAGAAGCCTCTTGGTGCGGAAGCCAAATGGGATTTTTACTTGAAACTGAAACCCAGGGTAGGCATATTTATAGAAGGTGACATAGGTACCTAAAGCCTACAGAAGAGCCTGCCCCTGAAGAAGCAGCCCAAATATTCCCCTTCTGAGTTACGGTAACTCTTCCCAATTGGAAGGGCTGAACTGACTCAAGAATGCCGGGTTAGATTCACCAATTTTACCCCTCAGAAATATCCTCCACCTCCTCAGTGGCAGCGCACGTTAAGTGAACAGAGATATATTTGGGAGGACCCTTATGGAAACTGGAAGGAAAAATAAGTTTCCTTCTTACTTCCACCCTGCTTCTGTAATTAGAAAAAATGTCTTGGTTGGTTCCCAGTCTGAGGATATGTAGGGCAAATGGCTTAGCAAGAAGAAACTAAATCTATTTTTACCCTAAAATTTCTGCATTATTTGATGACTAATTCATAGACCGAGATGCTCACTTTGGATGCCCATCATTGTTGGAAAGCCAACAGCCAACTCTAGAATTTTCCTGAAGCTTGAAATTCAACCAATTGACTTGATCTCATCTTCTTTGTTTCCAAGTAATTAGAGGAGTATTTCTACTGCTTATTTAAGCACACACACACATACACACACACACACACCCCAAGCCAGATTTCTTTTCAAATGATATTCTTCTAGTTCCACACATTGCTGACCTAAACAGAGAAACTGTTAGAGTCATCAGAACCAGAGACCATAGATTCAAGTATTTTGTCTTTATCACAGCATGAGTTAAGAAATAACATGCTGTTGAGTACATTCTGGGCCAGATGCATGATTTATCTACAAGTATGGGGCAAATGGCAGGAAGAGGGTATTATAAGAATAAATGGTCCAAAGCTGTCACATTTTGGGAATAAGAAACTTCTTTTGGTTACAAATAATACATTCTTATTTAGTCATGTATACAGGTTTTAGATTATTTTTACTTTCAAAAACATATAACAGGAGGAATAAAAATATGATTAAAAAAAGAATTGATAAAATATGAAATTTGGATTGGATTCTCTAGTAGTCAGGCTCTGGACCCAAGCAAGGATAGATAAAACAGTGAGCACATAACTGTGATAATGGTCTGGGTGTGAGATTTTGACGATAAAAGGAAACCTCATTTAGAATGCAGTGGAGAGGCCAGCAGGGGGAGCTATCACCCCCACCACACCTCATCAAACGTCTCCCCCAGAGAAAGAGACAGACCTTTTAAGCGGATACACTCCCAGGAGGAAAGAAGGCTTCCTCCTCCCCTGGCAACAGCCTAGCTAATGAGAGACATTCACAACTTAGACAATGAAAAGCCACTACACTTCAAACTCCTGGTTTATGCTAATAAACCTTTTTTTTTTTTTTTTTTTTTTAATACTGGCCTTCCCAAAGCCCCCCATTCTCTCTATAAAAGAGTATTCCTCTCCTTTGCTCTGTGGACTTGCCTATGGTTTTTGGTGCAGCTTGCTTGTCTCGGACTGCAATTCCCTGCTATTCCTGAATAAACCTGGTTTTGCTGGTAAAATAATGGTAAGTTTTATTTTTAAAGTTACCAAGATTTACATCCCCATGTCCCAAAGTACACATGTTCACAGTTTTTCATTATCTTATTGATAACCTTTGATGCTGCTTCTGCTTTCTTGCAACCACTGATTGACTAAATGAGACCTTCTAGTTGTTTACATGTCCAACAGCTGCATCATTAAACACTATAGACTAAAAAACCAGAAGATACTGAGTCTCTCATCACTTTTGTGGTGATAGGAGTTTTGGGTAACCTAATAGCTAGCATGTATCTTTAATGAATGACTTGGTGGTTCTTAATCAACATGGTGGCAAAAAAAAAGCTGAGTATTAAATGGAGTATTGTCATGGCATAAGCTCTGTGGGTGGCAGAAAGTCCAACATGGGTAATTCTTCTGTTGGTCTGTCAGAGTATGACCAACCAGGATGGGTTCTTGGTCATTACACAAACAGGTTTGCTTAGGAGCAAAGTTTTTATGTATATATATATATATATACACATATGTATATATATATATACACATTTATTTATTTATTTATTTATAGTTTTACATATATGAATTAATATAAATCAAGTATATGAATAAGTCAATGTGAGCGATATACAAAATACATGCTATCTTTGCTTTTTTTCTAAGAAGCACTAGAAATATGGACAAACAAAAAGCTACATCTTTTGCTTCCATAACACATTCCCTCAAGGAGTGTTCCATATTATAAAACTTCATTTGTTAATTTATAAATTAATTTATAAGTTAAGTACAATTCTCAATGACATCCTAATCTTATTATTTTGGAACTTGGAAGAATAATTACAAACTTGACTGAAAAATGAGACAAATAAGAATAATTAGGAATTCTTGAAGAAGAGAAATGATGTGAAAGAATTTGCCTTGGTTGTCTAATT